TTGCAGGCCACGCCCGGTGTGTTGACAGCTGTGCCTACACTGTTGAAGCTGCGCCTGGCCATTGAACGCTGCGCGTGGGATGTTGAAAGCTGCGCCTGGGATGTTGATCGCAGTGCCTCGGCTATTGAAAGCTTGGCCTGGGCTGTTGACAGCGATGTTTGGGATGTCGACGGCCGTGGCTGGGCGGTTGCTCGCTATGGTTGGCGGGTGTCTGCTGCGCCTGGGCTGTTGACAGCGCTGCTTTGGTTGATGGCCTGCGCTTGTTGAAAGCTGCGCCGGTTCTGTTGACAGCTGCGCATGCGTTGCTGGAAAGGGCCTGGGCGGTTGGAAGCTGTGCCTGGGCCTGTGGTGTTGAAAGCCGCGCCGTGCTCCGGCTATTGAGGAGCCGCGTCGAGGGTGTGGAATGCTGCGCCGGGATGTGGCAAGCTGTGCCCTGTTAACAGCTGCGCCTGGCATGTTGACGCCTGCCTCAGCGTGTGCTATCTGAATCGCTCTGCGCGCGCCCTGTGCTTTCGAACAAATCCGCTTACGCCCCGCGACCAGAAGCAGATGCTTAGCCGCTTAAGCAGATTTTCATCAAAACATCCGCCGACGGGCTGGCAAATCCGCTCACGCCCCGTGGCCGGTAGCAGATTTGGCACACACTGGCGACGACGTTTCCACTGGCGAAATCAGTGTTATCTTGGCTGGATCGCGGCCGGGTCGCGCCGATGGCTGCCAGATCGCGACCGGATCGCGGACGGTGACGTCTGCTGGGTCATGGGTCGTGGCTGGATCTGTCAGACCGTGGCCGGATGTTGGCCAGACTTCACGGTTGCCTCTGCGTGTGTGTGTGTGTTTGTTTTGGGGAACCTCCGTTCGGCAGATCTGCGCCCAAGAATGAATGTGTGTCCGGCAGCCTGTCACTATAGTAGCTCAATGGGAGGCTCCTCGGGCACTCTTGATTCAGGTTTTAGTTCGTTTTGGTTTTCTGTCAACGTCTATTGCGCAGCACACCCACACACAAACACGCCCCAAACAACCAATCAATGCTCGGGATCCTTGTTTGCCTTTGTGAGTTTGAGGCATTGCCTGGCGCACGTGTGGACATTCATGCTGCCCTTTCCAGGGCGCAAATGTGGGGGGGGCCTCAAAAGTGCACACAGGTCCCCCACCCCTTATGAATGAGAATCTTCTTATCAATGGGAATCTTCTTGCGGTTTCTGCAAGGCTCGGCAGTATCTTCACTTGATGTTGGACACAGGCCCGGCACGGAGGATCTTGAAGTAGCAAGTGTGCCCGGCAGCGAGCCACCTGTTGCAAGGTCGCCAGTTCTTGGCATCTGTGTTTTACTTGCGGGGGACTTAGAATGCCTGCCATTCAGCTTTGTGCGCGCAGAGCCCGTTTGCTCCTGTCGTGTTCATCTCGAGGCCCCACATCAAGTCCTACGTCTTTGATCGTCAGGCGGGCACCTGGATACAGGCAGGCCTGATAAATCGAATCAGCAACGCAAGCGTTGATTGTAGCCAAGTGGAATGGTCGCGGCCACGCAGTTGGCAGGACACGACTCTGGTTTTGTGCCGGGTTTTACCTGGCGCCGAAGAGATCTACTTGACAAATTGTGGCAGCAAGGCGAAACCGACAATCAAAGGAAAGCGTCTGGGCAACACTGACTAGTAACAAGCTCGTCAAAAAACTGTGTTGGTGCTTTGGCTCCAGACATGCTCGCAGCGTGCAAGGAAGCCTTCAAGGTGTAAGCTTGCTCTCACGCCAAGCAGAGCAAATTTCACGACACATTTTGCGCGGACCTAGCAGCAGCAGGGCAGCGGTGGCAACAGCCAACGCAGCAGCAACAACGTAACAGCAGCAGCAGCAGCTGCAGCAGCTGCAGCAGCAGCCACAACCATGAGCGCTTTGTTTTGTGGAGCTGGAGCTACCCTTTGGATAGGGTGGGCCTGCTGTGGCATTGAGAGCTGCCTGGCGGTTGCGCTCACCTATTGCCGAGGTCGCGTATGTTGGCGGCATTGACTTTGCGGAGAACCGCGATGACACGCACGGAGCCAAGACCTGCGACGTTCAGCACGTGTGTCTGTCGTAACTCTGTTGGGGCCTCGTTTGATTTCAGCGCGGCAGAACTCACCATGTCGCCCATGGCCCAAATGGGGGCATGACCCGCCTTCCCACCCACTACTTTGGATTTGCCATGTTTTGAACATGCCAAATCGGCAGGAATTGACAGGAACGCAATCAACCACCAACCATCATCCCAGGCGTTCGTCCGGGGTTTCAGGGTGGGTGGGGGCGTGTGTGTATGTGTGTGGGTGCGTGCGTGCGTGTCGGTGCGTGTCTGTGTGTGTCGGTGTGTGTGTGTGTCGGTGTGTGTGTGTGCGCGCGCGTGCGTGCTTGCGTGCGCGCGTGCGTGCGTGCGTGCGTGCGTGTCGGTGTGTGTGTGTGTGGGTGGGTGTGCGTGCGTGCGCGTGTGCGTGTGTGTGTGTGTGCGTGTGTGTGTGCGCGCGTTTGTTTGTTTGTGGTCGCTTGTGTTTGTTTCTGTCTGTTTCTGTGTGTGTGTGCGTGTGTGTGTGTGTGTGTGTGTGTGTGTGTGTGTGTGTGTGTGTTTTGGTGTTTTTGTGCGCTTGTGTGCTTGTGTGTTTGCGTGCTTGTGCGCTTGTGAGATGCGCGTGTGTGCGTTTGTGCGTTTGTGAGTTTGTGTGTGTGTTTGTGTGTTTGTATGCTTGTGCGCTTGCGTGCTAGTGTGCTTATGTGCCTGTGTGCCTGTGTGCTTGTGTTTGTGTGTTTGTGTGTGCTGTGCCCTTGTGTGTGTTGTGCGTTTGTGTGTTTGTGTTTGTGCATTTGTGTGTTTGTGGGACTGTGTGTATTTGTGTTTGTGTTTTTGTTTGTGCTTGTGCGGGCGTGGGCGTGGACTGTCTGCTGCGCGTGCGTGTGCGTGAACGTGTGCGTGCGCGTGCTAGCGCGCGCGTGCGAGTGCGTGTGCGTGCGGCTGTGTGCGCGCGCGCGCTCACACACACACACACACCGCACACCACACACCACACACCACACACACACAACACACACACAACGAAACACACACACAGACACACAGACACACAGACACACAGACACACAGACACACAGACACACAGACACACACACACAAACACACACACTCACACTCACACACACACAAACACACAAACACACACACACACAAACACACAAACACACAAACACACAAACACACAAACACACACACACGCACGCACACACACACACACACACACACACACACACACACACACACACACACACACACACACACACACACACACACACACACACACACACACACACACACACACACACACACACACACACACACACACACACACACACACACACACACACACACACACACACACACACACACACACACACACACACACACACACACACACACACACACACACACACACACACACACACACACACACACACACACACACACACACACACACACACCCACACACACCCACACACACACACACATACCACACATACCACACATACCACACATACCACACACCACACACACCACACACACCACACACCACACACCACACACCACGCGCCACGCACCACGCACCACGCACCACGCACCACGCACCACGCACCACGCACCACACACAACACACAACACACAACACACAACACACACATTCGCTCTCGCGCACTCATCTCATGTCTAGTTGCAAACCTTGGGCACCCAGCCAGAAGCCACGTTTGGAAACTTGTAGTGTTGGTCTGGGCGCGCAAAAAATGCAACTTGGGTCTCTCATTCTAGGGTTTTGACCAGACAACACACACACACTTTCAGAACCTGGGCCCCATTTTGCCGGCATGACTCCTTTTTTGCCAAGGTTCGAGCATTTGCGCCCGGATCCACTTTTGGTGCAGGCCCGGTCAAGGCCTCACTTATCCCTCGCTGGGATCACTCCATGCCTTTTCGGCGCTGGGACAAACCACGAATACAGAGTGTTTGGTTCTCTGAGATGCCCGCCACCAAGACACCCAGCGCTTTCTGTTGTGAAAAAGGGACTTGGGTGAGACCCTGGGACTGTGGTTACGTAGCAGGGCGCGTATTACACTTTGTCTCGGGATCGCCAAACTGGGTGGCTTTCTTTCGGTTTCCCTTCGCAGCAATGGTGCCCCCATATCCTTGGCCAGCGGAAGTTTGACAGGTGTCGATGGATGAGCGCCACCCCTCTGGCAATGAGAAGCCTTGGCAGGAGAGGCTTTCAGCTTTGTACGGGTGCCATTTACAGGATGAGCCACGCGCGCGTGCGCTACATCAACCCTAGCTTTAACCAAGCAACCCTGAGCTCTACCACGAACCAAACCTGGCCCCATTCCCATCCTGCACCAACCTTGCAACTTACCCTGAGGCTGCCAGCGGAGAAGCAACCCTGAGGCCAACGTTCCATCCTAATCCCGTTTTAACCAATCAGCCAACCTTTTGAAAGCAGGGCCCTTTTTGGGGCAAACTCAAGGGGCAAGAGCGGAAAGTGAAACGTGCCCAAGACTAAACCGAAGAACAATCAGTCGAAAACACCCGGCCAGGCACCAACACATCAAAACACGCAACAACGCAAAGGTGACAAGGGCGCACTATGAGAGAAAGCCATCTCCTTTTCAGAGGTTTTGGATTGCCAGCCGCTCGCCTGAGGACGCAATGGTCAAGGCCGGGGTTTTGCTTCACTTTTTTGCTCGTTGCTGGCCAATAAAGATGCGATCCCTACGGCTGACAACCTGCGAAAGGGCTTGAAACAAGCAGGCCTTAACCCTGCCGACAAGAAGAGACCACCTAATCCCCTCAGCCTCATGGCAAAGCGGCGCCCCCGGCTGGCGCAACCCTGCAGGTTTCGTTTTCCATTAGGCATTTGTAGGCCTTGCGGCGGATAGTGCTGAGGGGCGTCCCCTAGTGGTAATTGATGAGAGTAGCGATGTCCGAATCATTCGCCAACCTGCCTGTCCTGACTTTTGTCTGTCATGCGTTGTCGTCCGAGATGATCGGTCCGAGGGCCATAGGATTAATCTGCCTGGCCATGATGATGGTGAACCCGGTGGTACTGTCCCGGATGAAGATATCAGTAATCCGAGCGAGATGTTTAGCAGTCTTGAGACCAATATGACTGGGTCTATCACGGTACCCACGCACCCTAGTCCAGCTCCTAGCAGGTCAGGCTCGGCCAGCTGGTGATCCTGCCTTGGTGATGCCCCCCTTAATCTTCTCAATGGAGCCGAACATTCCAACGCGAGGCGAAGTCAGGGAGTTGGGCTCATCCCATCCCTTCTTTGGCCTGCTTCCTTTTGGGAAAGATCTTGGTGGAGTCGATGTTCCGATTGGGCTGGGGTCTGTGATGACAGCAAGCTCACAGCCGGACGCAACCGCCAGCATGACTACTAGAGTGGAGTGTCATCGCACGTCATTCAATGTTAAAAGTCCGAGGATGGTGAATGTTTCAATGGCTAGGAATATGGGAGAAACCCTGCGCCATATCCTAATTGGAGCAAATATCCGCGGCCGCAGTGGCGGTACAGGATAATTTCAGAGTCCAACACAGTGATAGTTGATCTGTTCACCTCGCGTGGCGGAGGATCGCGCCAAAGCGGGCGTTCGACACGGTCAATAACGGAGGTGCAAAATCGACCGGTGTAGCCAGGCCAATGAAACGTGTCTGCGCACGCAAGCAGCGTCCGCTGCTATGCAAATGTGTCAAGGAACTAGAGACATTGCCTGAGAACCAGGCCAACGTCTAAAGCTCGTCCCAGGTGAATTGGAGAGTGTGGGCAGTTTCCGAAACAAAAGAGCTAGTTTTGATGATGTTGCCCGAGTTTGTACGTAAGGGCGTAGCCGACGTTGCGAACAGTGCCTCTTATCTAAGGAAGACCTGCGCGAGCAATGTTCCCTTGACGGACCCGACGCGGAGTCTGCAGAGAAAGCTCGTTGCTTACTGGGGGAACTGCTGGTCAGTTTTGCAACATCCCCGCAGGACAGGAGGACTATAGAAGATTTGCCCATGTGTCCCAGCCAACAGAGCTATCCCTGACCCCAGTCGGATTGGAGAATGTTGCACACGCGTACGACAGGCCTGCGACATATGTCTCCCAAATCCCGCTCGGCCATGTCCGACTTGTGCTCTCTCAATTGGAGGGCGCAAGTTCCGCCTGAAATTTTCGGTACTGGCGGAGGTTCGTGCGGCGGGTATCATGGTCTGAGCAACTCCGTTGCGCCCTTGATAATCTCAATTGGGTGGAGATGTGTAGAGTATGGCTATTCTCTCAGATGGCGGGAGGTCAAAGTCGACGTTATCAACAACGTCCACCGCCTGCTCAAAGTTGCGCTTGCCCAACCCTGACTCATACCCGTCTAGACAGCCAACGCCCAGACGCGTCCTGGTAATGTCGCGCACAAACTATCCGGCTGCTCTGGAGGAGCCTGGCGCGGGAGGCGAAGTCTTCGAAGTCAAACATCCTGAGACGTGTGATGACACATCTTCCAAAGAACCCGTATTGTCCTCAATGCGAGCGCGCAAACATGGAACAGGTGCCTTTGTTCCGCAAAGGCAGAACAGAGTCGCACGCGCGTTACTGTTGACACAATGGTCCTGCACGGCTCAAAGGACCGCAGCGTCAAGAGTGAACCTGATGCTGTCGTAGCTACGATCCTGCTACCAAGTAAGCTGACGCCTTACCTGTTTTTGGTCGCTCTGCGCCTAGCGCGGTCGAAGCGTTCCATAAATTCGTGGGGCCCGAGCCCATGGGTCCACTGCGTGTCCGCCCCTGCTATACCCAAGACAAATGGTAGTACAAGAGTCCTGCAGGGACAGGCTGGATTATCACCAAAGCGGTGGCGCTTTGCTGTCCGTGCTTCTTGCCGCGCGAAGCCTCGAAAACAGAGGTGAAGGGACGGCAGGGGTCTCATTGTTAAACACATACTTCACCTGAGTTAAAATCGGGGGCCGGATTGCCCGGCTCGTTCTTGAAAATGTCATGATCGTTGACGCTACAACACCAGCCAAGCGACCCCACGTAGCCGTCAGCGGGGGGTGGTAGCCCGCTGGTCCCGCAGCTGGGTTGCAGGCGGATGATATTAACACAACGCCTACATCGAACAAGCTTCGTGGGAAAGCGACCTTTCCAGCCTGTGTCAGGACCTGCTGCAAAGAAAGAGCAGGCAGGAAACAGGAAGGCGCGTGCCGCTCTTCTGAAGAGCGGGCGAGGCTCCGAAAACCGAAGCGCGAGCGAGTGGTAAAATCTGCGTCGAAAAGAACCGCAAGCAAGCTCCCCGAGGATGATCCAATTCGGATGTTTTCTGAAACAACCTCTTGCCCGGCGACTATGGTGGCAGGCAATCTGGTCCCACAGGTCCCACGACGCGGGCGCGCCTCCCAAAGAACCAGTGGCCACAGCATGGACCGACGCCGGCCATGAAGATGCAGTTTGCCCGTTAACCTCAGATGCTGGAACACTGCTCGAGGCGCCAGCCAGAATGACCACGCATGTTTGACCGCTCTGCGCGTAAGTTGTTGTTGGTTGTATATGTTGATGACTTAAGACGAGTGGCCCAGCCGGAAAACTACTCATCGGATCGGACCAAATCGGTCGTACAATTTTCATGGAGCCACCTGGTACCCCAAAGCGGTTCCTAGGAGCGAAATGAATTCGCCACCGTTGGCACGAAGGGGTTCTTCGACCCTCACACCCAGCGGACGGTCGATCCTGACCTCCGCGAAAGCGTGCTTCACGGAGGCGTGCTTTGAAAGGCACAGCCTGGCGAACTATTTCGTTTTTTTCCTGGGGCCATGAATGGCAATGGAAAAGCGTGCAATAGCCGTAAAAAACGCGTGAGAGGCCACGAAAAACGTGTGAATGGCCGTGAACAATCGGGCGGAGCTGTGAAACAAAGGTGAAGCGCAAGCAGTGGCCGTGAAAAAGGCAATGGCCGAGAAACACGAGCTTCATGGTCCTGAGCAGAATGACCCCGTCGAAAGTAGTTAAACGGTTGTCCAGGAAAGAGCTGTGCCTTCCGAACTATGCTAGGCCCTACAGAAGGTTGAAACACCGCTTCTGGAGTTCAATGAAACCCCATCAGGTTGATCGTTTGTTCGGACTGCTATCATGGCTGTTTTGATGAAAGTTCTTGTTGGGGCTTGGGGCCAGAATGAATGGGTCGATACGTATCTAATTAGGCCCGCGCAAGTCTGGTCCAGTCGGATCACTAAGAGGAACCGCCTGCGCGGCAGATACCGCACTTTTAACATCTTGACCTACGAGCGCATCTGGCGTCTACACATGCCTAGTGGGCCGAGGACCTATGTTCCCATCACCTCGCTGTTCAAATCAACTCCCGAAGCAGGGATTGTCGGTGTGGCCAAGGAGGGTATGGCTCTCCTCCAACTATGGCAGCTCGCTATAGGGGCGCCGGAAAGTTGGCAACACTAAACGTGATGGAGGAGAATGGGGCCGCGTGCCGGATCATGGTCAGTGGGAAAGCGGGAGCAACCCCAACGTGAGATAAATGTCGCGTAGTCAACACATTGACATTTGTTGGTTGGATGAAGTTCACAAGGAACAAATACAAATACTCAGATTCGTTGCGTGTCTGTCGCGCTGTCAGGTCGCGAACATTCTCACCAAAGCGTGTGTTGACAAGTTCGTCTGGGGTGTGAGTTTGCGTACGAACCCCGGTTAAACGGAGAAGAAAGTATTGGCCATCTCGCCCTCCCTGTCACACAGCCTGCTGCCCTCCCCCGAGTTGCGTGGCTCCGTTGATTGTTTGGTGAAGAGGAATATTCTTGTGCACTACAAGGTCGCCATCCAAGGCATCCCTATACGGACGCGGGCAGCGAGTTGACTAATTTGGCGTGCCCTGCCAAATTCCTGGCAGATACTCGTTTTTGAGAATCGCCCGCCATGTTAGGGTGACGTAAAAATCCAGACTGGTGTTGGCGGCTCTTGCCGCTCCTTGCGCATGACCTTGATCGTATTGTCGAGGGTCGATTTCACCGACGTTGCCGGTCAGGACTTAGGCTTCGGAGGTGCGCCTTTTGCTTGCTTGCTTGCTGGCTGGCTTGCTTGCTTGCTTGCTGCTTTGGTTGCTCGCTTCGCTTGCTTGCTTTGGTGCTGCTGCCCTGCGTGCTGCGCTTTCTGCCCGGCTGGGCTTGTTCTTCTGATTGTTACTAACAGCCCTTTTGGTTCATTGTTTGTGCCAGCCGGGAGCGCCGCTTTGCCCCTGGGAATGGGGGGTTTGGTCTCTTCTTGTTGGCGGGTTCTTTCCCTTTCGCGCAATCCGTTCAAAGTGTAGCCGGAGGTCACGGGGCGGGCTGCGGAGCAGGTGGCGATGATCCTGGTTGAGCGTTGGTGGACGGCTGGTTGGGAATGGCAGGTCAGTCAACACAAGTTGGTTCTGTGGTGCAAAAGGTGATTATTTCTGTGGAGTTCCACGTTACGTATGACAACTCCATGTTACTCATGTTTAATGCGATGGGGTTGCGTCAAGGAGTTCGAGCCGGGCTTGGCAACTCTGCGCATGAGGGCGCTGTTGGTGTTTTGCTCCTTGTGCTGGTGAAGGCAGCCCTTTGCCTTTTGTATGTCAGAACACTGACTCTCGATGGGTGGTTGCGTAACAATAAATCGTATCCGCTACGACCCACGAAGAGCTATATATGGGTCACACGGTTCTTTTGGAAAGGCACCCCGCTCATGTTTTTGATTTCGCTGGTTGGCCCCTAGACCAGTTGCGTGTGAGAGCTATCTTCTTGGTCGGAAGATGATCCTGTCTCCGCTGGGTCGCTAGAACACAGCTTGCAAGTCTAAAGTCAAGGGGAGAATCAACGTCTCAGCCTGGGAAATGCGATCCGCTCTGACTTCCGTTTTGGGTCTCAGTCGGCCTAAGACGCCGGAGGACCTACTGCCAATCCACGGGCATGGCTCGTTCACAGGCCATGAGGCCGGTCACTGCGCGCCTTGACTCAACAGAGTATTCTCCACCCACTGGTCCATCCACAGTGTTGCAAGTGAACCGACCACGCGCTGCAGGACTCTGGAGAAGCACGGTAAATTCCATGGTGTTCCTTGCCCGCCGTCTTGCATTTGCTCGTCAGCTTTTTGGACTTGCCATTTGCTGAAACTAGACTTTGATTGCTGGTGACCACTGCTTGAAGGAAATCGCTTCCAAGCACAGATGGGCCGCAGGGAATGCTTGGCGGGGCCACTCGATCAAACTCAAAAAATCGGAGGCTGTTCACCAAAGGACCCACGCAAAGTTCATATCACACAGAGGTGTCTTTTGTGAGGGTAGAGTGGTGTGACGGCAGCAAGCCCATGTCAGAATAATTCATGGTTCCGGCTATCCGGGGTTTTGCTTTGCATCTAGGGTTTTGCTTTATCAACAAAAACAGCGTCCCAGCGACTGCTGCTCTGGCCACACAGATGAGTGGCGTTTGCGCGCGTGCCAATGCATTGCGCTGCAAGTCCCAAGGTGGGGAAATTTTGAGGATTACAGCTCTGTGGGGATGACGCAACTGATTCAGAATATCGTGCCAGTCATCCGGAATTGTGATGAACATCCTGGTTTTGCCCAAGCATCCTTCTGGGCCGCGCTGTTCAAGTCAAGGTGCTTCTTCTCGCTGCTGTATTCGGTGTGCGTGCAACCCAGCATTGCGCTGTGGTTGCTTGCCCTGTCATTCTTAGGTCCTTCAAAGGTCAAATTCATGAAAGGCTTTGCCTACAGCAGCCAACGGTTGAGCACGCCCCCTCCACAAATCGGAAGGGTACATCGCGTGATTCGCGTTTGTCTCTTCTGTGGCACTCACGCTCTTCAGTCCCACATGCAACTTGTTTTTGAACAAACGGTGCTGCAGGATCATGTGTGGATAAAAAGGTATCTATATATGTTGTTGATTTGCGTGCTTTGAACGATTCCCCTTTGTCACCTTATCACCCCCGCGATCCCTTGCGAAAATTGGCAAGGCGGGACCGCTGGCGTCAAACTTGCGAGATTGCCATGTTACCGTGTTCTTATACAGGAGTGTGAACGCTTACAGCGATTGTTGGCCGATTTTCTGGGGGAAATTGTTCTTCAGGAGCTGCCAGAGAGAATTCGCTTGTGGAGCTTCTTGTGCGATGGCTTGCAAGGGTTGGCGGGCTCTAGTTTGCAGAATTTCCCTTGCACATACTTGCGGTGTTTTTGGGGCCTAATTTGCCTGCACGGTTGTTGGCATCTCTGGCAGTGAGTGTTGGGGTCCAGCTTGCGCAGAGTCCTTGGAGCATGCAGGTTTAACTCTGGCTTCTGCCGTGTCCGAAGCTGGTTTGAAGAGATTCTTGCATGCTCTTCCCCACGGAATCTCTTGCGCTTTAGCTTGCAGGGATTGTTGGGTTCTGGCTTGCAGAATTTCCTTCGCGGAAGCTTCTAGGGATTGTTGAACTTCACTTTGCGGATTTTCCGCTCGCCAGCTTGCAGTCGTTGCTGCGTGGTGTTTGGCTTGGGCAATTTTTATCAGGGTGGCTGGCCAGGAGTGGTTGAGTTTTGGCTCGCTTGGCTTGCTGGGCTTTCTGTGCGATCGCTTGCAGATCTTTGCGCAGCTTTCTGTGTGTGAGCCTGCCTGCGCTGCGGAAATGTTTGCTGTTAGCTTGCAGGGAGTTTGGGGATCTAGTTTGCGCAAGTTCCTGAGCATTGCCGTGCAGAGGTTGCTTGGGAGTCTAGCTTGTGGAATTCCTGTACTGCCCAAAAGCTAATGCCAAGCAGTGTCCGCGAGCTAGACCAAAATAGCTCTGCGAATAAGCCCTGCCAGCTCACGAGGATTTGACCCCAACAATCCCTTTAGCAACGCGCTAAAAAGTCCGTAAGCTAGTGGGAAATGCCTGCAAACTTGCACCCGGAATTCAGCAATGTCTGCAAGCCCACGCCGTGCTACTCGCAGGAGTTGCTGGATAATTGTCTGTGAGGAATGTGGGGCTCTTCTTTGTGGATTTTTTTGCAGTAGTTTGCGGGCTGTCGCGCAACGAATTTTGTGACGAGTAATTTTGTGACGAGTTCGGCTGTCACACCCTGATTTTGTGACGGATGTCATTGTCATTCTTCACAAAATGTGCGGGGCAATTTCTGCGCTAAGTTTGGCCGGGGTAGGGCCAGGTGGTTTGTGACGAATGTCATTGACATTGTTCACAAAACTTTCAAATTTGCTACAACAGAGCGCGCAACAAGCAGGCCGGACTTCTCGGCAGACCAAATAAAGTGATTTCTGGTTTGTTTTGTGACGAGTGTCATTGTCATCCTTCACAAATCTGCCGCCCCCGTGGGCGTTCAGGTTTGTGAAAGAAAGGCCTCTCAGGAAAAAAAAAGGCCTCTCGGAAATTTGGCTCACGAAGCCAAATATTCCGTCACAAAATCCGGGTGTGACAGCCCAACTCATCACAAAAGAGTGCTGCGACGGCCTAACTCATCACCAAATCCGGGGTGCGCCGTCCGAACTCGTCACAAAATTCGTTTCGCGACAGCCCGCAAACTACTGCAAAAAAATCCACAAAGAAGAGCCCAACATTCCCCGCACACACACACATGCACACACGCACCGCATAGGATCCAGCAACTCCTGCGAGTAGCACAGCGTGGGCTTGCAGACATTGTTGAATTCCGGGTGCAAGCTAGCTTACGGACTTTTTAGCGCATTGCCAGGGATTGTTGGGGTCTAGCTGCAGAAATCTTCGTGAGCTGGCAGGGCTTATTCGCAGAGCTATTTTGGTCTAGCTTGCGGACACTGCTTGGCATCAGCTTTTGTTCCACAAGCTAGACTCCCAAGCAACCTCTGCATGGCAATGCTCAGGAAATTGTGCAAACTAGATCCCCAAAATCCCTGCAAGCTAACATTAAACATTTCCGCAGCGCAGGCAGGCTCACACACAGGAAGCTGCGCAAAGATCTGCAAGCGATCGCACAGAAAGCCAGGCAAGCCAAACCTCAACCACTCCTGGCCAGCTAGCCCGATAAGAATTGCCCAAGCCAAACACCATGCAACAACGCCTGCAAGCTTGCGAGCGGAAAATCCGCAAAGTGAAGTTCAACAATCCCTAGAAGCTTCCGCGAAGGAAATTCTGCAAGCCAGAACCCAACAATCCCTGCAAGCTAAAGCGCAAGAGATTCCGTGGGGAAGAGCATGCAAGAATCTCTTCAAACCAGCTTGGGACATGGCAGAAGCCAGAGTCAAACCTGCATGCTCCAAGGACTCTGTGCAAGCTGGACCCCAACACTCCCTGCCAGAGATGCCAACAACCTTGCAAGTTCACAGATGATCGAAATTCCGCAAGCTACCGCCCAATCATCTCCACAAGCTAATCTGTAGCAAATTTGGCAAATGAGGCCCCAAAAAACACCGCAAGTGTGTGCAAGGGAAATTCTGCAAACTAGAGCCCGCCAACCCTTGCAAGCCATCGCACAGGAAGCTCCACAACTGAATCCGCTCCTGAACAATTTCCTCCATAAAATCGGCCAACAATCGCTGTGAGCGTTCACACTCCTGTATAAGAACACGGTAACATGGCAATCTCGCAAGTTTGACGCCAGCGGTCCCGCCTTGCCAATTTTCGCAAGGGATCGCGGGGGTGATAAGGTGACAAAGGGGAATCGTTCAAAGCACGCAAATCAACAACATATATAGATACCTTTTTATCCACACATGATCCTGCAGCACCGTTTGTTCAAAAACAAGTTGCATGTGGGACTGAAGAGCGTGAGTGCCACAGAAGAGACAAACGCGAATCACGCGATGTACCCTTCCGATTTGTGGAGGGGGCGTGCTCAACCGTTGGCTGCTGTAGGCAAAACGTCGCCTTTGAAGGACTTAAGAATGGCGGGGTCCGTACAGGCAAACGTAAGCCTAAAAATCACGCTGCAGCGCATTGGTGGGTCGCACAGCCGCATTGCGCTGGTAAACGTGGCCTAGGCACACCGAAAAACGCAGCGAGAAAAAACCACTTGACTTGAACAAAGCAGCCCGGAAGGATGCCTGGTCAAAACATTTTCGTCATCTCAATTCCGGAAGACTGGCAGGATATAATAAATCAGTTGCGTCTTTCGGAGAGCTACAATCTTCAGACCTTGCGCACCGTGGAACTCGCAACTGCGCAATGCCTTGGCACCAGCGCTGCGCGCGCAAACGTCACTCATTTGTGTGGCCACAGCAGCATCGCTGGGGCGATATTTCTGTTAACAAAGCAAAACCCTAGATGCAAAGCAAAACCCCGGATAGCCGGAATCATAAACAATAGTCCCTAAGAATACGGATTCGGATATTTGCAGCACTGCGAGGGGATAGCTGCACACTTGACAAAGGGTCTCAAGTTGTCAGATCATCCCACCAGATGTCCTTTCAGCATGCTTGTTTTTGCGCGGCCCAAGAAACCCAGTAGTAGAGGTGCTCGGTTTGGTGTTTGCGCGCGGCCGGCTATGCGTTCGCACGAGCGCCTGCTAAGCATTGCGCGCGCGCCTGCCAGATGAAAAGCACCCCCGCTCAAGCGCCCCCCGGCCGCGCAGCGCCACCCACAAGAGAAACGCAACAGCACACACACACACACACACGCTCCTACGCAGTCAGCGCAGCGCGCTCCTGCCAAGCGGGTCGCCTGCCCCGTTGTTTTTTTGGGTTGTGCGCATTGCGTTGGACGCGCCCAGCTGCCGGAGATGGGCTTGGTGCAGGGTGGCAACGGTTCGGTTCGGTTCGGTTGCCTTCATGGTTCGGTTATTATGCGCCAGTTCGGTTCGGTTAATGACTGGTCAACCGGGTTCGCACGGTTCGTGATTAAAACCCATGCAGGTAGGATCTCCACATGGGGGTTCCCACTCTTGTTTGCACGCGGAGATCTCCATGTTCATTTGAGCTTGTGTTGCTGGAGGGGCTCCCAAGTTTTGTCAGCAACTGACTCCGCAGATCCGCTGCGCACAGCTTCCGTGCAGAACGTGGCCTT